GCCCAAACCTCTCCTCGCCCCAAGAGGCCGCGGGCGTCCCCTCCAGGCCTAGGACCCCCGCCGGGGCACTTTCCCCGCCCCCACTCGACCCCCCATCTCCGCCCCAAGCGCGGCAGTAGGGTAGTGTAGTCAGGACTCACGGCTGATGAGGTCCCGATAGATAATCATAATGGTGGCTGAAGGGAGACGCGGCCGCGATACCGTAGCAGGAGCCCGGAGCTCAAAGCGAGCGCGGTATAACCGCAGCGGCGAACGGGGAGAGGGGGGAGCGGGCGGAAAAGGCCGACTCAGCCGCTCCCCAACCTCATATAGAGGGCACTTCTCTTACGTCACCGCGCGCTGCGCCTCCGGAAGCTCCGTAAGCGGTGACGTATGGCACGTAGAGCGCGCAGGGGCGGAGTCGTTGAGCGGCCGGGAGGCAGGAAGGGGAGCATCCGGGCACTTGGCACCAAGATACAATGCAGCGCTCCGCTGGGTGCGCTTGGCAGGTCATGGGGACTGAGAAGGGGCTTGAAGACGGTTCCAGGCCCGGGGTGGCTGACGCTACGTAGGATGGGCTCCTCCCCTACTTACGCCTGTGGCTGTTCAGGGAGGAGCTGGGCTTGGGTGGGGCTTAGATGAAATCACTTCTTGCTGCGCCGCGCCCAGCTGAAGTTACCACCCCTTTCCTGGAGCAGAAATTTCATATGTAAGGCGCCTGTTTTGGGGTGTCAGGCCCTTGAACCCTGAAGGAGACGGCGGGGCTTTACCCGAAGGTGGGGACAAGAAATTGGGCTCTAGTCTAGCTTCTCGGATTTCCAGGGGCCTCGGAGAACTTTTAAACGGCTGCCCCAGCTGCATTTCTCGGGCCCTGTTTCGGAGCAGAATTGAGTCCCGGCCTGGGATCCAGGCTCTTCGCTCCGCCCCGCCCTGAGAAGGATCGTGGCAGGCAGGCGCAGTCTGACCAGAAGCCCGCGGAGGAAAGAGGCTGTCAGGTATGTACAGTACACTGCTTTCTCATCCCTTTCAATTTGGTTCCGCATTCGAAGGCTTGTAATGTATCTGCCAGATGGCAAGTCCAAATTTTACCTTGGTGCTAGAGTTAACCAAAGGAAAATAGGAATCCTGCATTCCAAAGTGTTATTTTGACTTTAGACCCAGTTACTAAGTCGAAAACAAAACTACACATCCTTAGTTTGAGCCAAACGAGTATGCCAGGATAAAATCTGAGAACTTGTTCAATTCCACAAATATTTTTGGGTTCTACTGTGTTCCTAACGCTGGAATTTGTCTGGTGGTCCCAGTTATGAACAAGTTGGATCCAATTCTACCCTTGTAGGAATTTTCATTCTAGTAAGTCAGAGAAGCAGGCGATTATTATACATTAACAGTTTTTCTTGAGTTCATCAGAGTAAGAGCAAAGCCTTGAGAAAGAACAGGGCACGGAACAGTAGTGGGGTGAAGTAAAAATTGCAAAAACCTAATGGAAGGCTAGGAAGATGAATTGTCTGGGCTTTCACTGGACACTTGGAAGACACTGGATAACTGGGAGGAACCCCCCCCCAAAGGATTTCAAAACAAATGACATCTTCCAGATGATCAATGAGGGATCTCTCGAACCTCTTATTTCTGAGGTATGTGGATTATTATAGCACATTATTATATGGACAGATTTTCTCAGGCATATGACATCTTTTCTCAGCTTTAATATTTTCAAATTCAAAAATGTTTTCATTTATATAGAACCCTTCTCTCCAGTTCTATGTCCAAATAAAAGCATTTTAAAAAGTTGTACATAAACAGTGGCCATGGTGCAAAAAGTGCTTGAGTTCACAGCACCCCTAGTTGAAATTTTGGCTTTATCTGTTACCAGACCTGTGGCTTTCGGAAAGTCAGCCTCCTTGAGCCTCAATATAAAATAAGAGCTTTTGCGAGTTAGATGAGAAAATGCCTAGCGTACCTAACAGTTGATCAATAAATATTGGTAGACTTTGGATGTGTATTTCTTCCCAGGTTTTATTACTTTTCAAAATATTCCTAAAACTATTAACTCTCTAAATATGCTATATGGAAGTATTTGGGGGACTCAGTTGGTCTATGTTGTACTAAAGACAACCTGTTTCATCACATTCTAATAGTGGATTGCTAAAAGGATTCATCTTGTACCCTTATGAGACTTACTCTTTTTTTTTTTTTTTTGCCAACTTTTTAAAGTTGTAGTTGTGAGTTATTGTGACTCAGTGATGACAGAGTGAGTACAACATAGGACAAGATCAACCTTCTCTTCTGGAAAACTCTGTGGTGAGGAAGCCAGGCTCTGCTTGTTACTTCTCTCATTCACCTGCCAACTTGCTGTCCAAGCTGAAAAACTGGATATGGCAAAGTCCTGAAACACATACAGCAGGGTAACTAGCCCAGTGTAAATGTGTTATCTGCTGCACCTCCAAACTGTATGACTCTGTAATCAGGGTCACTTTTATGGAGTATGTGAAAGTTCTTCACAGATCCCCGAGTGACCGGTCAGGACAGTTCAGAGCACAGAAGTGGGTGTCTTCCTTCTATGCCAGGGGCCTTGTGCAGTTCAGTCAAGTTCTCCATGGTTTTGTTTTGCCATTTTGAAAGCAAGCGAGCTCTTGTGGTCGTTTTGTGGCTGAATGGCACCCATTCGTGATTTCTATTCATCCCTGGAATAATCACACTTTCTCTTAGGACTTTTAAATTGAAGTACGTCTGTTATAACAGATGGCAGTCAGGCCCTGCCAGGTGTGGTCCTTCTCCAGCACACCCTTGGCCTTGACTAGGTTGGCACCATGGTACTGTGACCTTGGTCCCCATGAGGTGAGATTTTGAGTTTGCTTATGTAACTTTCCCCTTCTTGAGACAGGTGGTCTCCGTTCACTGGGTCAGTGGAGATCAAGTAATTGGATGTTTACTTCTTTTTTCTGTTTTCTGTCTGCAAGAAGAACTATCTTTTGGGGTTAGGGATGTAGCTCACTGGTGCAGCACCTGCATCAGAAGTGTGAGGCTCTGGATTTGATTCTTGTTACCAAAAACAAAAACCTTTTGATTCTCATCCAAGTGCGTAAAGTATGTGGGGAAGAGAACTTGCTCCATCCCTTTTCTATCCTTGGTTATCTGACACTGTTGTGATACCTTGGGGAGGCAGGACTGTATGTGAAGTCCTCTAAGTACTCCATTTCTGCCAACTGGTTCTTCGTCTGTCTGTCTCTCTGTCCATCAAAATTCAAAATACCCGAGATGCCATATTTTCGAGAATTTCTTGAAGCTCTAGCTTGTAAGCAGAATACAAAGAGCCTTCTCCATCAATATTACACTCAATATCACCCTTTGTAGAAGAAGGGCCTACTGCAAGAGCAGGAAGTTGGTTTCTAGATCACGAGCACCTTGCTTTAGGAAGGCAGCTGGACCATCAATGCCATGTAGGATGACGTCCTTTCAGGGAGTCTTGAGGTTTACCAAAGGCACGTGCTTCTCATTACCTGTTAAATTTAGCTGATGTAGCCTGGCTTCTGGGTTTTGCTGGGCCACCAGTGGCTCAAGGCGCTTCTTTATCTCGTTCATCGGTAGTGTTCTCTGATTATCTGTTTTCAGTTGTTGAAGCTTCATGCTTTAATCTCCAAAAGCACTGTCACTGCAAGTTCTGAGTCACAGTGCAATGCCTCCATGCCCCAGCTAGGCAAATAGTCTCCAGGTTCAGACCTCCAAGCCTTATGGGATTTCTGTCCCAACCTCATTGGATAGCTCATGGCAACTCAGAGACTACATGTCTTAGGAAACTCTGATTTGAGTTTTAGGATCATTTATAAATACACCTGGGTCTGTGCTAAAATACCTACTTAGAACATCAGGATTAAAAAGGTTAAAATTAGTCCCTAATTGCAAGCCACTGACAAAATGTCACGGATTTGGCTTTTGTCTACTTTATTTTGGTAGCATTAAAAACCTTTTGGGGCTGGGGGCATGTTTAGTAGTAGAGCATTTGGCTGGCAAACTCAAGGCCCTTCAGTATACTCAAGGTTCAATCCCCAGCATCAAAACAAACAACAAGACTTTTAAAGAAATAAACACTATTATTATGATTTAAGCAGTAAATTTTAATAAGTCCTAAGACTGTTTTAAATTTTGCAACTAATAATGATTTGGCATCTCCTGCTATTAAAGAGACTTCAAAAAGAACGTCTTCTTATACTCTTCACATAAATTCTCACTTGAGAAAAGCACTTGAGGAAGACTCACTGTTTCTTCAGTTAGGGACTAACTTTGGTGGCTTAAACACATACAGGTTTATTCTCATATTTAAAAATTCAGTCATGGGTCATGGTGGCGCATACCTATAATCCCAGTGCTCAGGGAGGCTAAGACAAGAGGATCACAAGTTTGAGCCCAACTTGGGCAGTTTCATAATTTAGCAAGATCCTGTTAAGAGAGAGAGAGACAGAGCCAGCAATGGAAGAGAGAAAAGGAAAGAAGAGAAGAAGAGGGGAGGGAGGGAGAGAGGGAGGAAGAAAAAGAGGGAGAAGCTGGGGGTGTAGTGCAGTAGGAAGGCCCTGGGTTCAGTCCCCATACCACAAAAAAGAAATTAGAGGGTATGGCTTCTCTGGGTGCATCAGGGACCCAGGCTCTTCCTTTCTTCCCCATGTGGTATATGACAGATGCTAGAACTCCAGCCATCGCGTCCTTCTTGGGAAGGACCAAAGTGCTCTGTTGTTGTGTTTCTCCCCTCTCAGGCGCTCTCCTAGTGCTTGCACTGAATAGTTACAAGGAGGCTTGTGGTTCCATGGAAGGCGGCAAATTGTAGTCATCTATTTGATTATCACCAGCTCATTGCCACACTAAATCAAGATTTTGTCATCAAGGAAGAACGTAGGCAGCTGGTCGTCCCTGCTGTGACCACAGTGTGAAGGGTCTGGTTCTCAGCTTGGAAGTGATCACTTTGCTCCCTGAGGGTCAGGATCAGGGAAACTGGTCAGGGAAAATAAGGAATTAGGCAGAGGGTTTGGGGATGCAATATATGATTGTGGCAAAACGTGATTAGGAATAAACCCACCACGCTGGACTGTCCCTTGTGTGTAGTCTGAATCCCTTCACTTTAAGATATATATATTTTTGAGATATGTGAGTGAATTCTTACCACTTTTTTTTCTAGACTTTATGTACTGTCAACAAATCATTAGTTGAGTTACAAGGCATTATTCCTTCCTATACAGCAGAGCTTACCAGAATAATTTTCTATAATAATCCCATATATGTTCATTTAGTCCAATAGCCATTCGCCCAAGTGGCTACAGAGCACTTGAACTGAGGCCAGTCTGATTCTGGAACAGAATGTCCACTTAATTGTTGTAAATTTAAATATGCATGTCTGTATTGGATACCACAGATCTATAATATAAACTCAATGAAATCAAGCACTTTGGATTTGCTTTCTTATTTAATCATACTGGGGAATGAACACAGGGCCTTTACCTGGAGCTACATGCCCAGGCACCGCCCTCCACTCTTTTTAAGACAGTGTCTTGGTAAGTCACCAATTTGCCAAGGCTGGGCTCACACTTGAGATCCTCCTGCTTCAGTCTCCCAGAGTGCTGGGATCACGGGAGTACACCACCGCATTAAGCTAGGGACTTCATTTTGTTAACTGCTGTATAACTTAACAGGGGGACATGACTCAATAGTTGTTTTGAGACAGGATCTTGCTATGTTTTGTTTTGAGACAGAAACTCATGATCCTTCCCTGAGTGCAGGGATGATGTGTGTATACCACCATACCCTCCTATCTAATGCCTTCTTAATTGCATTTAGCTTATATCTGAGATCTAGTATCACCATGCTATTTAAATTGAGGGTTTAAAAATAGCTATATTAAACATGAAATACAAGACAGGCATGTTGGCACATCCCTATAATCTCAGCACTCAGGAGGCTGAAGCAGAAGGCCTGGGAGTACTAGGTCAGCTTGAGCCAAACAGTGAGA